GCTATACTTAGTACACGTAATACCCTCGAAACGACCAACAGCACATCATGAAATAATAAATAGAAGTGGGGGATAGATTTTTATTTTGTCCCACTGAGGGAAGCAGCTTGGGCGCCCCTGATCCAAAGGCAGGTCTGGGTAGAGTAGCAGACAACTGTACTCAGGTAAGAGCAGCACTACGTCAACACCTTTTACTCAAGTAAAAGTAGCTGTCCAAGAAATTACTCAAGGGTAAAAAAGTATTTTATTAGAACACACACAAACATTAACCATCGCTGCCGTGAGTGTGAGCTGCCTGTCCATCTGGATGCTTTTAAAGGGACATTATGGAAGTCTGACAGCCAAAACATGTATAGAAATAATAAATGTCTTCTTCATACGTTCTCCTGCAATGCCCTGGTCCTGTAGAATGAGCCCTGGCATTTTTACTGTGATTGCCTGTTTTTCTGTAAAATCACAGAAAAAGAGAGATGCTCGGGTCGAGCAGGCTGCTTCATGCGCGTTCACGCTCAGGCATCGCCCGTAGCATTTGCTATCCGTAGCTTTAGCAGCAGAGAGAGAGGCAGTGCCACTTTGTCGCTGTTCCTAACGCCTAGTGACAAAGCTAGCTACATTTCTGAGGACCCTTAGCTACTTTCTGTAGAACTTTCTTCTAGATATTTCCTGCAAATTAGCAACAAAACAGCCATTTTCACTCCGAACCGTTCTTTGAACGTTGTTTCAGCTGTCATCAAGAATATAAATGTTACAGATACTGTGAATGTTACTAGAGTGTAGCTCACCTTGTAAGACGTCAGACTCTCATGCAGAAGGCCTGGGTTTGATTCTGGATGTGAACATAGTTTATTTAGAGTTCCTTTTTTACATTAATGGTATAGTTTTTTACAGTAAGATGCTCAAATTTTTATTTGAGACTCGCCGAACGGCTTTGAATTCACAGATAAAAAAGATGTGGGTTCAACTTTCATTTTGGAACAATTTTTCAAGCAAGGGAAGGGAATGATCTGAGCATGCAGGAGGACTGGCCCATCATAAACCTTTGTCGGCTGTGCTGAAGAGAAAGGTACAGAACCACATTATTTAATTAATTAGCTGCGTGTTCTCCTGTCCTCCGGGCCAGGGTTTGGGGTTAGGGTTAGGGTTCTGGCGTCGGAGCGGGCAGTAGCGTCGAGAGTCCCAGACCTCTCCCCAGCTCCTCCGGCCGGGGGAATCCCAAGGGGTTCCCCGGCCAGGTCAGGTGTTGTGCCATAAATCGACTCGCTGCCAAAAAATGATTAGCTTAGTTTTTTCCAGTTCAGAAGTTGTTTTAAGTGTTGCTATTTGTCTTAAACGTTCACAATGAGGAAATATTAATCCTTTTTGCAATATTTACGATTGAAAGATGGTTTGTGGTAAGAACTGGCTTTCTTTATGTTACAGCCTTGATACTAAAAAATAAATAAACAATGTAAAATGGCGCCCTGTATTGAATGTAAACGTTGTATAAATGTAAATAAACAAGCCTCCAGCGATTTGATTTTTTCCCCTTCCTTTCTTTAGTGGCTAATCATTTTTTGGCAGCGAGTCGATCTATGGCACAACACCGGTAAGAAGTCCGCTCCGACAGCTTCTGGCGTTTTTAAAAAGTATCCCAGGGGCACGGTAAGGGTCGGAGATGTTTAGTCTATTTAATTTCTGACTATATAAAACGATTTCTTCGGTTTTAAAGTGTGAAGAAACTCCGACGAAGTAAAATCCAAGCTGATCCCGTTCACCTTCATGGTTACATCCGTGTTTGTTTAGATTTTTTTTCCTGCCAAAATGGCGTCTACTAACTGAGAGTCACGTGGGGTCCGGAGCTCTATAGCCATGATGGTCACCCGTAGATGGCGAACGGCCTGAGACTTTTTAGGATTCTACCCCCCAAGGTGCTTCACAACACAATCAGTCATTCACGCGCTGGTAATGAGCTACGATGTAGCCACAGCTGCTCTGAGGCGCACTGACAGAGGAAAGGCCTACTGCACATTGGCGCCACCGGTCCCTCCAACCACCATCAGCAAGCAAGGCGGATTAAGTGTCTTGCCCAATGACACAAAAGCAGCATTGTCTGGTCAGAGCTGGGATCGAACCTGCAACCTTCTGATTACTGGACAACCCGCTGTATACCTCCTGATCTACTGCTGTTCCATCCTCCACCAGGGGGTAGCAGACATGTATAGGACAGGATATGGCAGGTTTGTGATGAAGGTACTAATCCTGACGCTCCATCTGGATGCTTTGAGGACAGAAGTGGTTTGACGTGAATGTGCAGCCTCTAGTCAGAAACCGCTGGATGCAGCTGGATGTGTTGAGGTCTGAAATCGAGCCCGTGTGAGCCTGAACATTAGCTTGTTAATAATGCATATTCGTCCCAGAAGTGGTTAGCAGGTCTTTTACAGGAAGCGCATGGTTAGTAACCGAATTACAAAACATTGTGAACATTACTCCGTGTTCATCTGTCATAAACGATTGGAAATGTTTAAAAAATGACAAAAAAAGATCTACAAGATTTAGTTGAATGTGTATGCATGTTTCTTTGTACGTCACTAAAGTCAATAAATAAATATGGTGAAGAACTTGTTTTTGCCGTAACTGTATTAACTCATTCACTGCCATTGACAACTAAAGTCGTCCTTTTAGATCCCACCGTTCACTGCAAATGACGACTAAAGTCGTCATTTGCATTTTTTAACTGCTTGAGCATCGGAACGAGCCCCCGCGCTGAGAGAACAAACATCTCAGCCCTGAAGCCGATCTTCATCCACATACGTCACAGATCACATGATCAGGAAGCAACACATCCATGTGTTTGGAGATCGTTTTGGGCCGTTCCTGTAAAAAAAGTAAGGCGCGAACCGGAAAAGCTTCTGCTGATCACAATTCAACAACGGATTATGAAAGAACGGATAACGCTCAAAACACGCGGACTCTTCCTGATGCAAGAGGTGAGTCTCCTCTTTGTTTTGGTTGTTTTGGCGTCGACATCATGCTAGCGCGCAACGTTCTGTGACTGTTAAAAAAACAGTAAAAACGGTGAGAAACGCTGGCAGCAAAGGCCTTTAGCGATCAGGAAACGGATGGTAGTGAATGAGTTAAATAAAGACATGAGATGACAAAAGCATGCAACAGTAAATGTACCCCTGCTTTGTGCGCGTGTCCATCTGACTGACCAGTGACGAGGCAGGAAATGACAAACACCACAATCAAAACAATTAAACGTCACAATCTCACTTTTTCGTGTGCAGCATTTGCAAAGACGTCTAACTCCCTGATCTCCTGACCAGACACAGAGTAGACACACGAGACCACACAAGCACTACACAAACCAGAACTCACCACGCAAGTCTCACGCTCACTGCCTCAAGTGACTTGAAACCCCTTGTGGTTACGAATGTTTGAAAATGATCAGGGAAATCAAGCAAGGACTGCACTAAAATGTGTTCAGCCTCACAAAGCCTCGAACAACTCTTTGGTGTTGAACTTTGGGTGCTCGTCACAGCTGCAGCTCACCATTACAATCACTGCTAACCCTAATTAGTCACATTCACCGCGGGGGAGTGAAGAGTGGGCTGCCATCCCCCCGATGCCCTGCCTGTTCAGCAAACGCGGTATCAGCAGGCTCTTCACACATCAGTGCACATGAATAGCACAGTCAGCCTGTAAGCATCAACACGGGGCTGGGTGTTGACACAGACAGGGAGAGGCTCGCTCGTGCGGCTGCGCTTCAAGGCCCCATTTCAGTCAAGGACCTCTGCCGATTAGCAGGTGACCAGTAAGGATGAGCTCTGGTTTGCAGGCCACCAGCTTTGTTGTCATCTGCTGGAAGACAGTCAAGGTACTCGAAACAACAAGTGGATTTTGGCTCAGGGGCACGCTGGTTTTAGAAGGGAACGTGAAAGGTCTGCTCTCAGTCAGAAGGCCTTGAGAGAGAATCCTAAACTTTCTAGTGATTTGTGCATTTTCTGCAGCTCAACTCTGATTATTGTTTTATTATAAAACAAACGTTTAAAAATGCTTCCTATGAGCAATCACAACAAAAAGTCACAATGCCAGCGTCCTTTTGAAATTTGCAGAGCCGGATGAAATGTCAGCTCCACTTGCTGCTGGTCATGTGTCACTCATGGGTCAGGAAGCTGCGTGGATGCTGCTAAGTTACCAGCCAACTGAGGTCCAAGAACCGCCTGAAGCCTGTTCCAGCCAGCTAATGCATTCTCTCAGCCTCCCCCTCCACTTCTATTCTCCCTCTCATGCTCTTCCTTGCTGTTTCTGACCCTCCCTCTCTTTCCTAAGCTGTCCTTTTTCCATGAGCTACTGCCCTCCCCATCTCTCAAACCCCCTCCCCCCTCTTTCTCAAGTGCTAACCACTCTCCTACGCCAAGCTCTTTCCCTACTGCTTGCTCTCTCACACGTGCACGTGCACTCGTGCACAGAGACACACAGAAACTGTGGCAGCCACCACGACAGCGAGCAACCTCCCCCACACTCCAGCAAAGCAGTGTGCAAGGGCCTCTGGCTTGCCCTGACCCACATCTTGATATAGCCCTAAGTATGCTTACAGCTAAGTCCTGAAGACACTCCTGCCACTCTTAGCCTAATCAGGCCTGACCTGCTGTCGACACGCAGCGCAGATAGACAGGCCAGGCTAGACTGACCATTATCATTCACAAGAAGGCTTTCAAAATGCCCAAGGAACCACCTACCGTCCACCTCCCCCCACTCCGCTGCTGATTGCAGGTTTCCTAGCTGACAAGCACATGTTCTACTTAGGATAGTTAAACATTACACAAATGACTGGTATCAGCGCCATGATAACCAAGCAAAAGCAAAACTTCTTCTAATAACAGCAAATAAGTGGAATAGCCCTTTGAGTGACTGTAAAAACAGGGTAAAGGACAGACAGCTCAGGCTGTTTGGATATTTTGGACGATCACAACTGCAGGAAGTCAGAAACAGATAGTAGAAAAAGTCAGACATCTTACTTTTTCATCCTTTGTCTCAACAGCAGTCGCTTGGCTTTTCTCAAGCCCCCTCTTCAGGCTGGAATCGACCCACGAACAGCTGGATTTGTTCTGATCCCTGCAATCGTCCTGCAGCTGAGGCAGCAGGTCAGGCAAAAGGTCAGGAGGCCCCAGTCCTTCCAAGTCTCCATCCTGGGCCTCTGACGACAGATAGTTGTCTCCAAAGGCTTGGTATCCATTAGTGTTGATTGCCCCGCAGCTCAGAGGCTGCTCAGAGGGCAGGTGATTAGCAATGCTGGGATAGCAACTCACTGGTTTATCAAGCATCTCAGATGACTTGCAGTTTCCCTGGATTTCCCCAGAAGAGCGCAGTGCTCTGAAGGGACACTCGTCTGCTCGGCTAACTGCTGTTCTCGAGTGCAACTGACTCATGAGGGCCGAGGGCTGAAACTGACATGCTGCCCCTGATGCGATAGGCCTACACGTCGAAGACAACGACTGCTGACTGAGCCCGGGTATTTCTGGCTCGCCAGGGTAGGCAGGGAACTCGGCTGGTTGGTAGGCGTTAGCAGAACCAACAGAGCATGTGGGCAGGGAGTGAACAACAGATGATGAATGCATGGGGAATGCCAGGTGAGAGTCTTCCAGTCCTGATGCAGAAAAGGCCTGACCTCTCCTGAGCAACTGGTACCTACCCTGACTTTCTAGATAAGACTTACTCGGAAGAGCTCTGGAATGAAAGTGGGTCTCGGTTACAGGTAGCTGCTGCTGCACCTGCGGGTGAGATGGCTGCATCTGATGCTGGCAGTTGTTTTGACTCCTCTGGTGAAAAGTGAAACTGTGATGCTGCTGTTGCTGCAGGGAAACTGCCGGTGTGCTAATTTGTTGGTGCTGGTTTAACAGGTGCTGCTGAAGTCTGTGCTGTTGCTCTTCTTGATGATGATGAGGATGATGATGAGCATGGCTCTGCTGCTGAGGATGCTGTCTCACGTGAAGTTGCTGGCTATGCAGTTGCTGATGACAAACCTGTTGCTGCGGTTGAGCCAACGGGTGGAACGCATTCCCATTTTGGTCATGATTGCCCCACATTGGACTTCTGTTGTTGCAGAACAACCCGTTGGACTGGGTGACTTGGCTCAGAGCGGCATTGTGGTACTGGCCATGTTGCTCTGGAATGGCGCCTGAGCTCCCGGAGCCAGAAAACGCCTGCCCCATAGGATTCTGTGCCTTGGTGCCTATGAAGTGAGGCATTGGCTGATTGTAACAGGGCATGACTTGATGGGATGAGGCTGTTGGCATCATGTCTTGGTGTTTCCCTGGGCCAAGTGATGCTACTGGGAGGGGTTCAAAGTCTGAACTGAGGTTTAACTCATCAACAAGTGAAGGTCCCGAAGGGAAGTCGTCCTCCTCCAGTCCTTCCAAATCCCCAACAAAGAGGTTGGTGTCATCAAAGAAGTCCATGGCTGAGTTCAGAGGTTGGCGGAAGCCTTGGAAACGCCACTGAATCCAAGATGGTCCCACTGAGGCCGTCTACAGGGCTACAGCATGCTTCTTATATTATGTACCTGCAAAAAATAAATATAAAAATAAATAAAAAACTGAAAAAGGAATATTACAATAAATGTTAAGAAAATAATGTCTTAGTAAGACAAAAATCAGATACTTATGAGAGCAGAAAAAATTTAAACACCTAAATAGTTAGAATTTACAACAGGGAGATAGGAGTTCATATTAAATAACAGTTTTAATAATTCATCAACTGTATGTGTTAACAAACTTTGTTTGTTAAATGGTGTTCTGCTGAGCTGTGGTGGCCTCATGGGGGGGGGGGGGGGGGGGGGGGTCGGCTAGCACACTGCTGCTAACCACTTAAACATTCTCCCTCTCCTGATAACATTTTACTCTCTTTCGTTTATTTATTTATTTATAAAGCCCCTTCTGCGACCAATGCAGACGCCCAAGGTGCTGAACACAACAATAAAAACATAAAACCATCAAAGTAAAGCACAGCAATCGTAAAACCAAATAAAAAAAAATTATAAATAAAAAAATGAAAAATTGAGAGGAGAATAAAGGCAAAAAATAAAATTCTGAAAATGATTACGAGGCCGGGGCATCGAAACCAGGTAAAGATTGCTAATCCTGGAATGCCTCGACAAAAAAATGGGTCTTAAGGCCAGTCTTTAAAAACCCCAATGAGGGTGACTGACGCACCACCAAAGGCAACTGGTTCCAAAGTGCAGGTGCCAACACCGAGAACGCACGGTCCCCCCGTGACCTGCACTTGGTGCGTGGAACCATCAACAGCTCCCTGCCGGCTGAGCGAAGGGCCCGCGAGGAGGCATGTCTATGCAAAAGGTTGCCAAGATGTGCTGGAGCAGTTCCTTGTAAGGCCTTGTATGCCAGTACCAAGACCTTAAATTTTGCCCTGTATTGCACAGGCAGCCAATGAAGGGATGCCAACACAGAGGTGATATGCTCCCTGCGCCTAGTGCCTGTCACGAACCTAGCGGCTGAGTTTCGTACTAACTGCAAGCGTGCTACCGCACCCTGACTAAGGCCGGCATACAGTGCATTGCAGTAGTCGAGCCTTGAAAGAACAAAAGCGTGTGTGACAGTCTCTAGATGTACTCTGGACAGCAGGGGCTTAACTCTGGCTAGTCGGCGTAAGTTAAAAAAAACACGATCGCACAACCTGGTTGATTTGCGCTTCAAATTTAAGGGCTGAGTCCAGTTTCACTCCCAAATTTCGGATGGTGGTCTTCACATTAGATGCTAAAGGGCCCAGATTCACAGCATCGCATGGGCGTGTAGACATGCCAGGGCTAAGTACAATTACTTCAGTCTTAGCGTCATTCAGATGTAAAAGGTTTGTAGCCATCCAGGAGCGCACAACCTCGAAGGCATCTACAAGCTTTGATAATGACCCATCGACCCCCAACTGAACTTTGACACTGGATGTGCTACTACTAGTTTACCCGTTTAATTATGGATTCACTAGGATAAATACAATAAAGTTCATCTCTCACCAAATAGAATATTTACCATGAAATCACAATGTAACCATAGCAACACTACTGTGTGTGGTGGATGGCTGCTTATACCGAGCCAGGATCCTCTGGAGGTTTCTTCCTGTTAAAAGGGAGTTTTCCTCTCCACTGTCGCTGCATGCTTGCTTAGTATGAGGATTGCTGTAAAGACTCTGACACTAGTCAGTGACTCGATGCAACCTGCTGGGTTCCTTATGGAGGAAACTTTTTACTGATTGGCTTAATGACCTGACCTGTGTTGGAATGTTTACTGTGTGAAGGTCCTCGAAACGACTCTTGCCGTGATTTGGCGTTTTATAAATAAACTCGAATTGAAAACTTGAATTTATTCTGTCACTATTCCATCAGCAGTGCCTTTCATGTGTGCAAAAACGCAGCTGGTGTAAATCAACCACCAGCAGGTGCCTCTTCCTGTACCGCACCCCTTTTGAACACACACACACGTATAAACACATGCACCTCAACCCCCCCCCCCCCCCCCCCCCCTACAGAAGCACTGACGCTGCCTGCCCTGCTACTGCAGAATGTGTGGGAGGTGCAGACAGCTGATAGAATTTCAACAGCAAAGGGCAGAGGCTGAGGAGGCCCTCCGAGCACGTGCATTTAAGTGCTCTGCAACCACAAACCAGCGGAAGAGGACAGAAGCGTTCCCAGGTCAGTCATTATGTGCTGACATGCACACAGAAACCCAAACAGACGCTTCTCCTTCATCCGGGTCCAACATGACGCTGTTTTTGTATTGACCAACAAATGTACATATTTAATTACTACTACACGAAAGCTGTGATGAGGAAGCTAGCGTCTTAGCTCAACAAGTAAACTTTCAACCAGTGCCACACGGAAAAGGTTTTACTCTGCAAGAGGTGAAATAAACACAGGTGGGAAATAAACGAACCGGGTAAAAGCCACAGACGGCAGCAGAGGTCAAGCCAAACCCGAAACTTTTAAAGACAGATTTGGCAGACCATACTGGATTAATCAGCTAATATTCCCTAAATCCACCCCTGCTGACATTTTCCTCCTTCACAAAACCTTTTCCCCAGCAGAGATGAGCATCTCTTTTAGCTCACCCGGGCCACAGCTTCAATTATAAAACCAGCATGTTGGAACCAAACCACTGGTGTTGACGTGTAGCACAACACAAACCAATCCATGCCTCATAGGACAGAGCTACTAAACCAGCTTCACTTACACATACTGACCACTACTGAGCTGTTACTACTTTGGTTTGTAGCTCACAGCTGTTGGTTGGCTTTAAATCCCCAATGCTTCCTTGGTCTTGTCAGAAATCATCCTGAAACATCTTAAACCCGGCCCTAAGACTCTAGAAGTAGTAATATCAATTACAAGCCATTTAACATTTTACCATTTAAGTTCACAGCACATTTTGGGGATGGAGAAACTTGCATTGCAGTAGACTTTTTACACACACACACACACACACACACACACACACACACACACACACACACACACACACACACACACACACACACACACACACACACACACACACACACAAGCCCCGACCCCCGTGCTTTTAAGATCTCACAATAGGTTTGTCTTCAAATTACTTAGGTGCATTGAAACATCTGGCATGGGACGGCACATATGGGACAACAACGACTCGTTAGCACCACCAGTGCACCTGCTGACCACTGGCTCGTTCCAGTGGGAATCAGCCGACAGGCGGTCTGACATTTGTTTGATACGATGAAAAACACGTCAATCTCCAACAGGTGCCATCACAACCAGAGACTCTGGTGTGTAATGTGGTCATAAATGTTTGGAGGAAAAATTCCTACCGAGGGCAAAATATCTCGATCTCCCCGGCAACCCGAAGAAGACGAAGAAGAAGATGAAGAAGATGAAGATATCATTTCTGTAGCGCCTCTCAAGATAAATTCACGAGGCACTTCACAAAAACAAAAAATGTAAAAATATAATAAATAATTTAGAAAATTTTTAAAAATATATTTAAAATTAGCAAAAAATTGACAATCGTGGTTCAAAAATGTAAAGAAAGAGAGAGAGTGAATAGGAAAGAGGGAAATCAGTGGATCCTGAGGAAGGTGGAATAGGTGGGGAGAGCAGAACAAGGAGAGGGTGATGAAGGTCACACCCAAACCTGAACAAGTGAGTCTTCAGCTGCTTTTTAAAGGAGACCACTGAGTCCTCTGATCTCAGGCTCAGGGGAAGAGAATTCCAGAGTCTGGGGGCCACAGCAGCAGAAGATCTTTCACCTTTGACCTTTAGCCTTGTGCTGCACAACTGTAATGGAGACCAGGGGTTCCATTCATTATGATTTATGTTCTGTTATTTCTGATTGAGTTACAGACAAAAGGTTTTGTTATTGAAGTTATTTATTTTGTGTTGGACATTTGTAACAGATTCTTTAGAAGCAGAGGGACTGGCCACCCTTCCTGTGTAAAAAAGAAATGTTTGTTAAATGTCAATTTGTGTTTAAGTTAATCTCCAAAGTTTCACTCACAACCAGTAGGCCTTGATCACTGGACCTCAGGGACCTGCTGGGGGTGTAGGGACCAAGAAGATCACCAATGTAAAGGTTGGTTTATGCTTGACGCGTCCACGAGGTTCGCACGGCTCCGCGCAGAAAAGTTGCGTCATTTTAACAACCACGCCCCTCCACCGCGCCTCCGCACGGCCCAGAATTTCCGCAACGCACACCTCGGAAAATTTCTAACCACGCGGATGGACGGACGCGGAAAAACATGGCGGACCGGCAAGAACTAGTACGGCAGAGGTTGGTAAATACAGACATTTGTATGATTCAGCTCTCAGAGATCACCGTGATCAACATGTTGTTAATAATTCTTGGAGAGAAATAGCTCGCACTGTCGGAAAAAACGAGAACGCTGTTAAAAATGCTGGAATGCCATGTTGTAAACAGTAATTTCTACTTCTACTATGGTGTAGTGTTGGATGTATGCCATAGAGCTCCTTGCTGCCCCCTACAGTTTGGGAGAATATTGGCTCACCGCAGAGACGAGCCGCATGAACCATAAACGCTGCGAGTTGTGAAGCGCGTTCCATCCGCGAGCCGCGTCACCAAGCGGAAAGTGAATGCGTCAAGCATAAACCAAGCTTTAGATGGTGCTTGTCCACGTAAGGCCCTATAGACCAGAACCAGGATCTAGAAATGAACCCTGAAGTTGACTGGCAGCCAGTGAAGCTGGAGGAGAAAGTTTATTCTTACTGAAGTCAGCAAACCTACCAATATTTACATTTTTGACTATTACAAATGAAGCGTATGAATCAAGAAAAGCTGAGTCATCCGTTTTTGTCTTCCTCACCTAACAGGTCAATTTTCCAGTAATTGTCCTCATTGGTTCATTCAGATGTTTGCGTTATAATGACAAACAGCCACGATGTGTGCATTAAAACACAACATCTGAATATAAATTAACCATCGCCCAAGTCCTCTTAGTCACAGTTTAACAAATATATAGTCACAGCAGATCATATTAGCGTGACGAGTCTGCAGCACCTGACGG